TTTGTATTTTTAGTAGAGACGGGGTTTCACCATGTTGACCAGGATGGTCTCGATCTCTTGACCTCGTGATCCACCCGCCTCGGCCTCCCAAAGTGCTGGGATTATAGGCGTGAGCCACCGTGCCCGGCCCACAGTTATTCTTAACAGAGGAGAGCTGTGATTATAAACCATGGGAGGCTCACCAGGGGGTGGTGCACAGTAGTTCACATTCATATTTGCAGAGTATTTTAATGACATGTGAAACGACTTAAGTTAAAATAATTTTTAAAACAGGCTGGGGTCAGGCACAGTGGCTCACGCCTATAACCCCAGCACTTTGGAAGGCCGAGGAGGGTGGATTACCTGAGTCAGGAGTTCCAGACCAGCCTGGCCAACATGGTGAAACCCCATCTCTACTAAAAATACAAAAATTTCGCCAGGCGTGGTGGTGTCATGTTCCTGTAATTCCAGCTGCTTGGGAGGCTGACGCAGAATAGGTGAACCTGGGAGGCAGAGGCAAAGGTTACAGTGAGCTGAGATTGCGCCATTGCACTACAGCCTGGGCAACAGAGTGAGACACTGTCTCAAAAAGGAAAAAAAACGCTGGGCACAATGACTCACACCTGTAATCCCAGCACTTTGGGAGGCTGAGGTGGGTGGATCACCTGAGGTCAGGAGTTTGAGACCAGCCTGGCCAACATGGTGAAACCCCGTCTCTATTAAAAATACAAAAATCAGCCAGGTGAGGTGACACATGCCTGTAATTCCAGCTATCTGGGAGGCTGAGGCAGGAGAATCGCTTAAACCCGGGAGGTGGAGGTTGCAGTGAGCCGAGATCATACCACCACGGCACTCCAGCCTGGGCAACAGAGCAAGACTCTGTCTCAAAAAAAAAAAAGAAAAACCTAACTATACATGTAATCTCAACTCAAAAATACCATGTTAAAAAGAACAAAAAGGAATACATAAATATACTTAAATATGTATTAAAATATCTACATATCTCTCAGGCATGCAGCAAATATTTGGTGAAACTGGTAGATTATGAGTGGGCTTTCTACTTCTTCCTGTTTTTCTGTATTTTCCAAATATTTCAATGAAAATGATTTTCTTTTCAGATAGGAAAGAGTATTAAAGCCTTACTGTTTTAAGATTATTTTCTCTTGATAAATATTTGAAAGAGAAATTTCTGAGAAATTAAGAAACCAGAGGCAAGTCGTTTAAAAAATAAATTGTGGGTTGGATGCAGTGGCTCACACCTGTAACCCCAGCACTCTGAGGGATCACTTGAGCCCAGGAGCTCAGGACCAGCCTGTACAACATGGTGAAGCCCTGTCTAGAGGTGGCACATTCCTGTAGTCCCTGCTACTCATGAGGCCGGGGTGGGAGGATGGGGATGCCTAAGCCCAGGAGTTCATTGCAGCCTGGACGACAGAGCAAGACCTCGTTTCAAAAATAAACCATGGAGAGGCAGCTAAGGAACTTTAAATGAGTAATATTCTTAGGCCTAGGCTTCAGCACACACTAAGAAAAACAGGAGATAAGAAAATGAACTGAAGGAATATATTCAATGACAAACGCCACGAGTAAATATGGAGTCCTAAGTGCTGGAAGACGGGACAGGCAGTTCTTGCCTCTGAAAAACCTTCTAGAAAGATCTATGAAGAACAGGGATCTGGGAGGGAAAAAAAAAAAGATCTTCTAATCCTGCTTCCTTGTTAAAACAAAAATAAGACACAGCTGACTTGTGTTATTAAATTATTCACCTACTTGAAAAGTGAGTTCTCCTCACCCTTGGAAAGGGGGATCCTTGGGCAGCTGAGCCCAGCGTGGGTGGAGGCGCCCTGGACTCACCACCTCCCACCCTCACTGGGCTCCGGTGTTCAATTCTGTGACCCGTTAAGTGGCCAGAATAAATTGGCAAGGGGTGTCCTCTGAACTGAAGGGCCTTGGGTCTTGACTAGGAGGGGGCTTGGCCACCAGGAAGTGGGGAGGGATGAGAGCTTCTGCCCAGGCACACGCTGGACGCGCAGGACCAGGTGCAGACCTGCTTGCTGAACGAGGCAGGGGTTGGGGAGAACGGCTGACAGGAAGGGAGGAGAAGCCAGCAGCCTCCCAGCCTCCCCCTCCCGCTCCAGCTGCTCTGGCTCTGGGCAGGCCCTCAATTACACAAGCTCATGCTGTTCCAGGGCTAATCGTTTCCGAGGCGGCCAGCCAGGGGAGGACAGGCCTCCCCAGCCAGCAGCAGGGACAGTGACAGACTTCTCTCCGCCCACCCAGGACCCTGCACAGCGCAGAGCACATTCCATTCTCCTTCTTTACCCAGGCAACAGACTCCAGCAACCTCTGTGCCAGAAAGGTGCTCCAGAATTGTGTATTAAACAGGGGACAGAGCTGAGGTGGTGGGGGAGGCTGAAATCAGAAGGCACCGGCTTGCTCCAACCTCTTGCAATGGAATCTGCCCGAGAGTTTGCAGATGTTGGTGCCACACCTTCCGCTTACTGAATCAGAATCTCTGAGACTGGGTCCTGGAGAGGGCCACCTAAACAAGACTCCCAGAAGCCCCTGGCCTCAGGTCTGCCTGTGGGTGCACATTCCCAGTCTTCCCCTCCGCGGCTGGAAGAGGGGAGGGTACAGGGTGGGAAACAGACACCAGCACCCAAGCTGGTGTGACAGGGATGTGCCGCAGACACGGGGCTTGGTGTCCGCCTCACAGGGGACAGGCTGGATGAGGGTCGGTCGGCGTCTCCTCTTGCCCACAGCTTCCTTTGTCAGTTTTCATGTACACAACACACACATCACCCAAGCCTAGTCCCTCCCCTCAGAATGTGCTGCACCTCCATCCACAGCCACCTCCCACCACGGCTCTCCCTCTCCCGACAGAAACCCCACCTGCCTCATTACTTAAATAATCTTTATTTTTCATGCGCTAGGAAAGATGGATCATACGAAACACTGAAGTTCACAGCAAAGGCCTCGGTCCGGAACACAACACAGGGGCCAGCTGGGATCAGGATCTGGTCAAAGCTCTGGGAACCGCACTGGGAACACCACTCCCAGGGCTGAGTGGCAGATCCAGGACCTTGCAGCGACCGTGGCCCCAGACAGAACACAAGGCAGCTGCCCTCTCCCACAGAGGCACGGGAAGCTGACACCCAAGGAGCACGTGGGCTGGGGACAGGACGGAGAGAAAGCTGCTGGGCAGTGACTTGGCGGAGATGGGGTCCAGCACCCTTGCCGCCTCCGTCTACCCACTCAGGCCAGGAAGCCCCGGGCTGTGACTGAGCTCTCAGCTCAGCTCTACCCAGTGCAAAGCTGCTGGAACCCCACAGACCCTCGGCAGCCCCGGGCCCGCAGCAGAGGTGTACAGGTCCCCTGCCTGCCCCTCGGCTACATAAAACAGAGGCCTAAACTTCAGCCCTGGCCAAAGCTTAGATTTGTCCAGGCAGGACATGAAAGGCTAGAGGGGCCGGCCCCCAACCATCCCAATCCCCCGTGGACACTGGAGAAACCCGTAGGACAGTCAGGCTTCTGAGGATCCCAGGACAGGGCCACCAGCAGGGGAGGCCCTCAGTACCTGGGCAGTCAGGTGCTACCTGAGCCCAAACAACAATGAGCAGATTCCCAGGCTTTGCCTTCACTAGGTGGCCCAGGGACAGTGACGTGGTCAGAGACATGCAAGAAAGAGACAGAGACAGAGAAGAATGGAGACATGCAGAGACCACACAGCATGGGAGGGGTCTGAGAACAAAACGTGGTCAAAGTGCTGCGATGTGGTGGGCGCTGCAGGGGCCAGGCTCACTGAGGCCCCGGGCTCGTGGCCACCGCCGCCTCCTCCGGGATGGTCTCCAGCATCTCACTCTGGACTGCTTGCGTGATGAGCGCCAGCTCCTGGCACAGGGTCTCGTGGCGGTAGCCCACGCGGATGTCTGGCACGTTGGTCCGGCGGATGTCGTTCCCCTCAGGACCTTCCTTGGTATAGTTGGGTCCCAGCCAGTGGCTCTTTACCTGTAGGATGCAGGGGTAGTGGACAGGGCTGCAGCCAGCGCTGAGGGGCTGTGCCCCACCCCAAGCCAGCCCAGAAACAGGTCAGGAGCCCAAATGTGGAGGAGGGGAGGAGAGCGGTCATGCCAAGGTCCAAGCAGACGCTGTCGTACCTTGTGGGAGAAGCCGCTCATGAGCACGCTGTTGCGGGCCAGCTCACACATATCGCAGGAGCTGAGCTTCCACACCTGGGTGGCGATGCTGTACTCCTCCATCAGCGGCTCCTGCACGGGCCAGGTTCCCTGAGCCGAGCCGTCCTGACCCGCCGCCCCTGCCCGCCTCCCCCACCTCCGCAGGACTTGCCGAGTGGCCTGCTATGCTCCACCAGCAGGGGGCAGCACCAACCCGGAGACCCCAGCGTCCCGAGACGGACGCACGCCCGCTCGCCTGGCTGCCTGCTGGGCTCTGACCTTGGTGAAATGGAACTGGAGGGGATCATCGGTGGACAGGGAGACCATGAGGCCGCGGGACAGGTACTCCGGTAGCGGATTCCGGTGGTAGCTGAGGAAGAGGCTGTTGTTGCTGAGCGGGGACATGGCGATGCCTATCTGGGCCAGGTAGTACAGGTACTGCAGGACTGGGGCCTGGGCAGGCAACAGGGAGGGAGGGCCTGTCAGGCAGCCTCGAGGCTGGGTAGAGCACAGTGGTTCTGGGGGTCCAGGCCACACCAGAGGGCAGGGGGAGGGGAATCCAGGGCGGGCCGGATGTGCAAAGGGTGAATTACAGTAAAAATCCAGTTGCGGCTCCAGGCTGGAGGTTGGGGTGGGGAAGGTAGAATCCAGTCTGAGGGTTGGGTGGGAGGAGGATCGGTTGCCGAAGGGCCAGCATGGTTCAGAGGAAGGTGTACAGTTGGGAGGGAAGGCTGGGGGGTGCGGACGCTGACCTTGCGCAGAAGCAGCCCATGGGAAATGTTCTCAGCCAGCATGAAGGCTGACACCAGGTGGTGGATGGGCCCAGCCTCCCCGCAGTGTGGCCTCAGCACAAACGTGTGGAAGCCCCTCTGCCTGGGGGACATGAAGACAGTGTCAGCTCCTGAGCCTGGGATTACCTGGGCTCTCCAGGGCTCCTGACCCCCCAACCCAGCACACATATGTCCTCCAGCCAATAACTGCACGCCTGGGATGAGAGGGACAGGGGTAGTTACTGGCTGTGAGGGCTGAGGGATGTAGCTCCAGGAGCAGAGGAAGAACCATCCAGTCCAGGCAGCAGGTGGGTCAGAGGTCTGGTGGCCCCGGCCCAGCGTGCCAAGAGTGAGGCTTGTGGGGCATGAGACTGCATGGCAAGCAGACACTGGGTGATGCAGGCACCTGCGCAGGTGGTTCAACATGGCCATGTTGGCAAAGGTGTAGTACAGGTAGTAGGCATAGGGTGGGTTGTCCTCCTCCACCCAGGCCTCGGGCAGGGGGCTTTCCAGGTTGAAGACATGGTTCTCAGGCTTAGACTCATCATCCACGCTGTCAAAACCATCCACCTAGCACAAGACCCTGGGGTCAGACCCAGGACTGCAGCTGGGCGTGGGGCCAGCTGTCCTCCCCATACCCAGCCCTGTGCTGCCTGCTCACATGCTCCAGGAACAGATGCAATTCTGGGTGGCTGGCAGGGTGCACAGTGGCCTCGAACAGTGGCAGGAAGATGTTCTCCAGCATCTCCTGGAAGTTTGCCAGCTGGCCCTTGGTACGGTACACATCACTGCAGGCAAGACATAACACGCAGGTATATGCAAGTCAGGGCCAGTGCAAGGAAACCCAGCAGGCCAGTAAGGGTCAGAGCTCAGCCCAAGAGCACAGAGGCTGAACCACACTGGAAAAGCAAGGATACCCAGGTGGGCCAGGCTGGACAGACCATGGGTGGGACCAGGAAGCCCTTCTTCATACTCAGAGGGGTTGGCAGGGACAAGGGAGGCTTAGTCATCCCAGGAGGGCAGGAGGCAGTCCCTGACCCCTTGAACATGGCCCCACAGTTTCTCCTCCCACTCCAAGGGACACTCACAAGAGGCGGGGCACCTGCACCAGCCAGCGCACGTTGGGGGAGTGCACGCGGTGCATGACGGCCCAGCGCGCCAGCTTGTCCCACTCGTCCCTCGAGCGCCCATAAATGGAGAGCCGAAGCTCTGCATTCTGGTATTTGCTCTCCTCCAGGTCCGACATCACCTCCTAGACATGAGGTGAGCTGAGTCAGAGCTCTTCAGGGGCCATCTGCCCACCCTCCTAGAGTCTCACCCCACAAAAGCCCCCAGATCCTCAGGCTCGAGGCTTGGTAGGGAAGGCTGCCTCCTTACCTTGATGATGTGAGCAAAGTACTTCCCAGATACCCTGTTGTCCGTCTTGATGAAGATCTCTCGGAGAACGGACTCCCCAATAGGGTTGTATTTGGCATTAAACTTGTCAAAGCGATGGAAAGTATTCCTGTCCTGGGGGACACGGGCAGGCTCAGGTCACCCCTGACTCCTTGTTCCCTAACTGACTCAGTCCCACAGCCCACACCACTGGCACAGACCGCATGCACATCCAGCGTGTCCACACTCAGGTCGTAGGCTGTGAGATTCATGCTCTCGAAGACCTCCCGCAGCGTCTGCTCACGGCCCTGCTCCACATGCACGATCTCCTCCAGGTGCCGCTTCATCGCCCGCTTGATGAAGCGCAGCAGGTGCTTCTGGTTCATGCAGGACGAGGCGTGGATGTGGGTGTCCACCTGGGGTGGAACAGGGCGCTGCTGGTCCACTGGAGGCCGGGAAGGTCTGGGGCCCAGGGCAGTGCGATGGGAAGGCACCCTCTGTCCTGGATGCTGCGTGGGGGGCCTGGCCCTTGGAGAGGAGGCTGGGCAGGGGTGTGGGATCAGGACATGGAGAGGACCATGGGCTGAGGGCCCACCTTGCGGATGTTGTAGAAATCTCGGTGTGGCACTTTCTTCTGGGCGGCCAGCTCCTTCATCTCATTGAGTAGCACGTGCATCTGGAACTTGGAGCTCAGGTACTGCAGCCGGCGGTAGCAGAATGACTTTCTGGGCATGAGAACAAGGCAAGGACTTAGGCCCTGAAGGGAGGCACCTGGGGAGGGCCCAGGTAGCAGTGCAAAGGGAGCAGGTGGGAGGGTGAGGAGGGAGCAGGTGGGAGGGTGAGGAGGGAGCAGGTGGGAGGGTGAGGAAGGAGGCTACCAAGAGAGCAGTAGACTGCGGTGAAGTCTAGGGCTCAGTAACTAGGAAGGGCAGGACACCAGGTGACAGGAGTCTGGGGCAGAGCTGGGGCTGGAGAATCTGGGCTGGGAGGCGAGCTAAGTGTCTGGGGTGGCAGGGGACTCACATGGGACCATTGATAATCAGGGCCATCAGCACATTGACATCAGCCACAAATTCCTGCAGGTCAGGGTATGGCAGCTCCACCTCTGAGCAGCTGGCATGGAAGGGAGCTTGGTGAGGACAGCAAGCCCGGCCCTGTGGCATCTCCCAGCCAACGCAGCCTCTCACACTGCATCCCCCCAACACACACCACACCCCTCTTACTGCTCATCGGGTTCCCTGCGGGTGTAGACGTGCACCACACCCCGCACCATGCGCAGACCCAAGCCCAGGTCCCCAGGCATGGTGCTGGGCTCACAGTGCTCATACGGGTGCTGCTCCAGCACCGGAGGGTGCACCGGGGCATCTGCAGGGTAAGTACAGAGGGTAAAGTCAGAGCAGGGCTCTTCCAAGCCGCCCGCTGCCCAGCCCAAACCCCACAGAGGGCAAGAGATGCTGAAGACCCAGTAGTTCAGACAGCTCCTGCCCAACCTCCAGCCCTGCACACCAAGAGGCTGGAAGGAGCCTGGGTGTAGGCAGAGGCAGGCGGGGCAGACGTGTCCAGGCACCAGGCTCAGGAAACCCAGGAGGCTAGGGCATGTGGGGTAGGGCAGAGATGGGGGGTCCCACCAGCAGACACAGGGGTGTCGGGGCCCTGCTCATAGGTCCGGGTCTCCAGAGGCTTTTCAGCCAGCTGCTGCAGGTAGCGGCGGGTGGTGGGGCAGAAGCTCTGCAGGGACAGGGCCATGTACTTCTCCCGGATGAAGAGCGCCCGCACCACACTCTTGGCTGCATCCAGCAGGTCTGTGAACGGCACCTGGAGATGAGGACATGCAACCACTCTACTCAGTCTCAGACTCAGAGACCTCCTCTGAGGCCGTCCCCTAGACCCCAAACTATCCCCCACTCCTGCAGGCCCTGACCCCCAGAAACACTCAGGTCCCCCTGGTCCAGCACATCAAGTGGCTCCAGCCAGCCCCTCGGCCCCTCCAGCTGCTGGAAAGAGAAACGCCCTCTCCAGCCCCACCCCCAGGCTGGGGGAGCCCACTGAGACACGGGTGATGGAGACTCAAGGCCCTGCCCCACACTCACCCCACACTTCTCCTCCCCAGAGATGGTGACCCGCTGAAACTCCCGTTCCAGCACCGCATCACGCTCCCGCAGGCTCCTGTCACCCTGCCCCTCACCCTGTTCCTTGTAGAGCCTGCAGGGGGGTGTTGAAGGGAGGGGTTTAGAGCTGGCAGAGGGGCAGGCTGCAGCTCCACAGGCCCCGCACCCCTCTGCCCTCCTCACTGTAGGTCCGAGTCACTGTCCGTCTTCAGGAAATCTTGCTTGGCCCGAAGCAGGATGTCCGGCTCCAGCCTAGAGGCAGGAGGGGTGAGAGGTCAGGCAGATCGCGAGGGCCTGCCCTTGCTCCCAGGCCCCAGCACCATGCCAGGTGCTGTGTGCACATGTTGTCACATGTGATTCTCAAAGGCAGAGCTGCAGAACCCTGTGCCGTTCTCACCCACTTTAGAGATGAGAAGGCAGACCCATAAGTGAAGCCACATGACCCGGCCACACCAGTGGCTAGAAGACAGAACAGAACCTAGCAGCCCGACTCCAAAGCCTACTCTATGCTCCCTGTACAGACCCCCAGGGGAGGGTGGGAGGCACAGGGGCAGAGAAGGGGCTCTGAAAGGGTCTGGATGGGGATGGAGGAAGGCTAGGCAGCTGTCTGCCAGGCTCACTTGACATCCTGGCTGATCTGCCGCTCCAGCCGCTGCCGCCGCTCCTCCAGCTGCTCGATGGGGCTCTCCTCGGGGAACTCATACGGGGCACTACGGAGCTCGCTCTCAGCCAGCGAGCGGCTGAACAGCTCCTGGGGGGAGGGAAGGAAGATCAGCGTGGCTGGCCCTCCGCCCTGGGGCCCTCTCCTACAGAGTCTGGGGATGGGGTGAGGGCAGCAGGACCAGGGGTACCTGGGAGAGGCTGAGGATCAGGAGACAGCCAAGCGTGAGGTAAGGGGACAGCTGAGGTGAGGGGTGTGGGGAGCAGAGGCAGGGCGTGGAGATACAGGGTGAGGGTGCGGGTGGTGCCAGGCGATACCTCGGCGATCTCCTTGCATTTGCCATCCATAGACGTGCGCAGGTCGAGCGGGAAGTGCTTGAGGCAGGGGGCGGGGCCCGGCAGGGATCGGGCAGACTGCAGCGGAGGGGCCCCCAGACCACCCCGAGCCTCTGCAGAGACAGTGATGCCAGGGTCAAACGGTGGAGGGGCAGCCCCTGAAAGCCCTGGGCCCCTACCCTGCCTAGGCCAGCTCCTGAGAGAGCCCAGGGTCGGGAAAGTGGGTATGTAGCTCCCAAAGAGCTCACCCTCACCTCTCACACAGGGACCCCTCACCCATTCCAGGCTCGGGGTGGGGATTCTGAATCTGCCCCTAGAACGAGTAGATTCATTACCTCCCTGAATGAGAACTGACTCCAGGACTAAAGCCTGCTCCCTCAGGCCATGAGAATCTCCACGTGACTACCTCGCAGAGGCAGGTGCACCTGTGTACATGTGCACACACATGCACATACGCACACAGACACCCGCAGAAACACACACCAGACACTCAGTAAGAACCAGGCGGCCACACCAAGGACCCCCAGCCTGCAGCCCCCAGAGCAGGCAAGCCAGGATCAGACCCGAGCCTGGACTAGCAGATTTTCCACTCAAAGGGGCAGGACCCTGCGCCTGACATTCTAGACCCGTGCAGCACAAGAGAAGCCACAGCCACTGCTTGGCTCTGACCTGGGCACCAGCCCTCAAGGGAAGAGGAGAGGAAGAGGAGGGCCTGGTTGGCAGGGGAACCCTACCTCCTCCCTGGAGGCCTGCCCTCTCCCCCAGGACTCCAGGGCTGCCAAGATGTGCCCTGGCCTTAGCCTGCGCCTCCAAAAGGAGCTGTCACAGTCTATGCCACTCAGGCCCCAGGACCTGGGCTGGAGGTCCCACGGAGGGCCCTGGGGAAGGGAGTGTCAGAAGCCAGGGGTCTTTCTCAACCAAGGACCAGACTCTTCATCTGTACCACCAGGAGGTTGGCACCCGAGGGCTGTGAATCGGGTCTCTGGAGCCTGCCAAGGCTTCCAGCCTACCCCAAAGGACCCTCCCTGGGCTCAGCAGCCCCAGTTCCCCAGTGGGAAGCTTTCCACACCAAACTGGCTCTCTCAGCTGCTGTCAGGAGTGCTCCCCTCCAGCACCCTCTACCCCGGCTTAGGGAAGGATTACAGGATCTGCCTTGGTAGCCAGCCTTAAAGTCTCTGTGCCCATTTCCCGATACTCCAGGACTGGTCACAAAGCTGGACAAAGGGAAGAGGGAGGGGCCTGCCCCAGGTCCAGGACCCCATCCCCTGCGCACCCTGGACCCTGCCTGAATCCTACCTGCAGAGTGCAGGCAGCTCCGGCCAGCAGCCCTGTGCCCCTTGCCCGCCTGTTTGCCAGTGAAGCTGCAGCCAGTCCCTCAGGGGCTGGCACAGGCTGTACCAAGTGCAGCTGCAAGCAGGGGAGACCCTGAGATAGCTGTGAGCACGGAGCTAGGGGAGTTCAAGGGAGCCCGGAAACCAAGGGAAGGCGCATCAGACTTAGAAGACAAACTCCAGAACTAAAGAGGGCCTTCACCTCTACAGTGCCAGGGAGGACCCAGCCAGATGCAAGGCTCCTAGGGGGAGAAGCAGGGTAGGCTGATTTGGGCAGGCCAGGCTAGCAGGGAGGAGCCAAGCCTCCTTAAAATCCACTGCCCTAGGGGACAGCGAGTGGGCAGGGCCTGGCTGGCTAAAGGGTAAGAGGGGAGAAAAAGGAGGGGAGCAGCTCCCTCCACACCCGCAGCCCCACGTCGGCTTCCCCTGGCAGTGGCCTTGTTGCTCAGCACTGTCCTCTGGGCCCTGACTATGGGGTCCCTCAGGAGAGACAGGGCCTCTGCTGGGGAAGGAGCTGGCTGGCAGCTGAGGAAATGGCCCAGTCTAGATGGGGGCCAGTCACTGAGGCTTCCCCGCCACCCAGCTGCTCAGGGAACTGGTTCGCAGGCTCCTGGACCTGCAGCGCCTGTCCAAGCTACCATCAGGGAGGGGACAAACTGTCCAGGATAAGTTCGGGAGAAAGGGAGCTGGGATTTGGAGGGTGTGGGTCTGATTCTGTTCCTGCTGACAGACATGTCTCTACCTACCTCTGGGAAGCTCTGGGTCCTCATCTGCAAGTGAGACAATATGTGGTCCCTTCCTGCCTAGCCACAGCTGCTGTAAGACTCACAGAGATAATGGCTATGCAAGTGTTCTGCAAAACACCAGGCTGTGTTGAGGTGAGGGCCTACAATTATGAACTCCTGGGGCCCTCAAATACTTTCTACTTGTCGCCCCACCCATTGAGAACAGTGGAAGGCCCAGTGCAGGGCGAAGGCAAAGGCCAGTAAAGGGCAGTGAACTTGGCAGGGGTGGAGATGGGGGTGACTCTATCTCTCACTTGGAAAAGGACAACATAGGAAGAGGAAGAAAAGAGGGGAACTTGCCTCATCCCCAGAGCGTAAGATCTTTTCTTGCCCAAGAACCCTGATTCTACACACCTCCTCCCTACATATGGCCCCAGACCACTTCTAACTCCATCTAGAGGAGGCAGACCGCAGACCCTCATGGTTGGTTCATACTGGGTCACCAGGAGTTGAGTCAAAGGCCCAAATCTCAAGCCTCTTTCCTAGCAGGGGGGTCTGGGGCTCCACAGCAATCCTGCGGTGAGCAGGACAGATTCCAACAGCCAGCACCATCCCCCTAGCCTGCCAAGCCACTCTCCAGGGCTGCTACAGGCTCACTGAAGGTGACACACAAGCAGTAACCTCTACGCTCTCAGAGGCCAGGCCTAGAAGACTCAGGTCCCTACTGGTCCTTTCTCTAGGGGTCAGCACCGCACACTCACGGAGGAGTCAAGCAAAAGCCAGAAGGGGCCGCTCCACAGCCACTCCCACCAACTCCGAGATTCTGAGCACCCCACCTCCCCTCCCGACCAGGAGCCCCTCACACACTGCCAGGACTGCCTCAGTAGGCACGGAGGTGTCCGGGGCTTTGACCCACAAGTATCAGATGCTCTTACCATCTCACCACCGAAGGGTCTCTGGTTCTTGGCTAGATCCGTACCAGTTGCCCTACTGCTGACCCAAACAGGGCCAGGGAGGGACCCACCCAGAGGATACCCTTTCTGGATGGCACAGGCCTTGGGACAGTGCAGACCTTGCGCCAGGCATCTTCAATGAAACAATGGGGGATGTTGATAATTGGGCTGTAGCTACAGACTGCTGCAGGGGTGGGAGCAGTCAGCAGGATCTGGTCATCAAAGTCAGGGTGGGTCCTTCCTTAGCCACAAGGCCTGGGGGCAGACGGCAGGCAGACAGCCCTCTGCAAGCACACAGCCAGGCGGCCAAGCCCTCACTGAGACAGGCACTGCCGCACCACGTTGCCTGCTCCAAATGGTGCAGAGATGCTTACTAGAGTGAGAGACGAACCAAAGGGTGCAGGAGCACACGCAGTGCAGGCAGCAGCCCCAGGCTGAGCCCTACACAGACCTGACCAAGGACACCCCATGCTCCTAAGGAGGCTCACAACATAGACCAGGAATGAGCAAATAGCAAACAATAGATACAGTCAAGCCCCCAGCTGTGGGATGCCAGCCAGGAATGGTTGTGCCCAGATGTCAGACTCCCAGTGAAGGGGATCCCGAGGTGGCGTGCTGGAAAGAGGAGCTAGCCACAGGAGAACAGCCTGAGCCCGCCTGGTAAAGGCACAGGCGCCAGTCAGAGCAGCCAGTCCGCAAAGCAGTCAGTCCCACACACCCCCACTCCATTCACACACGCTTCACACGCAGTCTTAGCACATGTACACGCTGACACGTGTGCATACACACCTCTTGCTGCACCCACACCATGCCCACTGCTGTGACAGGACAGCATCCCTGGCACAGACATCTCATACCCACATCCGTCTTCCCTACCCCACCTTCCAAGCCGGCCGTCCCTGAGACTGAGGTTGAGGGGCACCACCGCAGAAGGATGCCAGAGGAGGTGGCCCCCTCTGAGGGACCAGCCGCTTAGGCGAGAGGCGGTGGGACAGAGCCTAGCATCTATCCTGAGGCCAGGAAGCACACACTCACCTGGAGCTGCAGTGGAGGCCTGCGGGCTTGCCCGCTTCTTAAAGGGATATTTGGCCTTGGGCTTGCCAGAGCCAGATGGATAGGATGCCATGGCTGGGACCACGGCGGCGACAGCGGGGGAGTCTGAGAGGCACCGGCTGGGGCCTGGCTCTGCCACATCCAACCCCTTCCTCCGCCCCGCCCCCAGCGGGAGTGACTGATGCAGGAAGCAGCGGCTCCGCAGGCGGAAGAGGCCCTGGCCACGATTTCTCCTGTTGTCTAGGCAACCTCGGGAAGTGGGGCCTCCATCTCTGCCCCTTATTCCTCCCCTCCCTCCTCAGTCCCTGGAGTGACGTGACTGATGATGTCTGGGCCTGGCGGGGGGCGGGGGAGGGGGTGGGCAGAAAACAAGACGGGGAAGGGCCAGCCCCCAGCTCTCCACTAACCCCCCCAAGAGCCCTCATCCCCATCATGCCAGGGCTCCAGGGCAAACAAGCCAAAGTCCAGGCTAGCTGGTCCTTCCAGCTAGCCTGAAAGAGAAAAGAATAACAAACAGGAATTCAGCCGCGAGTGAGCCCAAGCTCAAACACCGTCCTCCCGGGGCAGGGCAGGCTTACATACTCCGTGAAAACCCAGCACCCCTTTTCCTTCCCCATCTGACCCTCAGCTCCAGGTGTAGCCCAGCTCTGGGAGGAGGGGGAAGAACCGAGAATCCCAGCCCAGGAGGGAGGGGCTTGTCTTGGGAAAATTCCACCGTCGCCAAAAAGGTACCTCCTAGGAAGGCCAGGAGACCCCCTTACCTGGGGGTCTGAGACAGAGACCCTAGCCTCTTCGGATTTCTCCTCTGACTCTGCTCCCCAGGCCCTCCTAGGAGGAGCTGACCGCCTTCTCTAGGTCCTGCAGGCTGCGCTGGGGCTCCCACTCTCTTGTCACCCTGGCCACAGCACTTCTCTGTCCCAGAGACCTTCCCTCCAACGCCCGCACACACACTCACCTGAGGCCATGCTGCCCGAGTCCCGAGGGGAGGCTGCCCACGAGGGTGCACAGCAGAAAGCCCGGGTCCTGTGGGAGAGCAGGGGGGTCGGGGCCCAGACCCCGGCCAACTCGTTCCAAGGGCCCCCGCCCGGGCACTGAGATGGGGGAAGTAAGGTAGTCTTTCAAAATTGTCGGCTGGCCGGAGGCGGACTCCTGCAGACCTCGGCAGCCGGACTGGCCTCAAGGCGACCCCGGCGTCGCGACCACCCAACCCCGCAATCGAGAGGCGAGTAGGCCACGTGCTCCCAAGAGAGCGGGACCCGGAACTCGTCCACGTTTCTCTCAACACTCCCTGGGCATTCAGGGTCGGACTTCCGCGGCCGGACTATGGGGGAGTCACGCAACAGGTGCGACCCCACCAAAATCTCGCCGGCTACGCGCCAGGCTCTGCGGCCCTTGGCCCCGCCCCGCCTGGCCCCGCCCCCGCCTGGCCCCGCCCCCGCCTGCCGACCCCGCCCCGCCATTTTTTCTCTTCCTGGGCGCCACGTGGGCAGCCACCACACCGCCGTAGGGCTGGCCTGAGCCGACCCTGGGTCTCAGGCCAGTTCCGTGCGTCAGCTTCCTCATCAGTAAGATGGAGTAATGACGGTATCTCACTCAAAGGGGTTACTGTGAAGATTAAACGTAAAGTCCCTTTACACAGTGTCTGGCACGAAGTTAGGGCCCAATGAAAGGTAGCTGAATCCTGTCCCAGGATTCATTTTAAGCAGAAGTCCTGCCCCTGCCATCTCACCTGCTCGTCTGTTTTCTTCCGGCCGGCGTAGGCAGGCAGGATGTGTCCTGCAATTTTAGCTCCCCCTCCCAAATTTCTGTATTCGGTGGTTAAGAGCTTTAGCCAGAATGTGCAGGTTCAAATCCAGACTCCACCTACTTCCTGACTTGACACTGGGCAAGTTACCTAACTTCTCTGTGCTTCTATTTCGTCTGTAAAATAAGTGTAAGAGTAGCTGCTTTATGTGGTGGTTAAGATAAATGAGTTAAATAACTGCTTAGACCTGTGCCTGGCCTGCAGTGAGTACTCAATGTTCATGTATTATCATTGCTTTAGTCTTGATCTTGGTTCTCTACTGGCATTCATAGGGTGATTCATTTGCAGCCATTCTGGGATCTGCAGACATCCTGTTCAACAAGCATCCCCACTGCCAAGGGGTAGAGAATCCGACTTAAAGGGAACTTGTGGAGGGAAGTCCCTAAGACTTCACTGAATACAATTAAATGCATTAGCAGCAATTAATCTCTTCCCTATTCTCCCTCTTGCAGAAGGCCTTTAAACCCCAGTACCCAGTTGTTCTAATGCTGTTTGTCTGGCTCTTCCCAGTTCTCGCCACCCCCACCGAGGAGTTCCTTCCCAAACTCTGCCTCCCTCTTGTCTCCCCACATTGGATTCTGGACCCTGAACCCTGTTCTCCACCTGCATCTGATGTCACTTCCATTGATCCCTGTCTGCTGTTCCCTGAACAAACTTAAAAACCTTGGCCTCTTCACCTCACACAGAATCTATAAAACTAAAAAGAGAACAAAGAGATATCATGTTTACTTATCAAAAGAGCAAAGACTAAAAAACAAAACAAAACGAAAAAAACAGAAAACAAACCCTTATGCAGGTGGCAAGGGTATAGTTAGTGAGACGGGCGACACACACGTACATGTGCACACACACATTACTGGTGGCCTTAAGTACGGATAGAATCTGAAAGCCATCTGGTAATATATAATCAAAAGTTTCAAAAAGGCTCTTATTATTTGACTCAGTAATCAACTTTCTGGAAGTTGTTTTTCTAAACAAAGCTGCCAGAAAAATATGTATCCAAAAAGTTGCTCAGCACCACCATGTGTATTGCATAGAAAAGTTAGACGCTTTAAAGACAACAATAGGGGAATGTTTATGTAATATTCACACCATGAAATGAGGCCATTAAAAATTGTTCTTGGAGAAATGTTTAATGCTGTGAAAATATTTACAATATAAAGTTAGGTAAAAGAATGGATGCAAAACACTATATGTAGGATGGTCCTACTTATGTGATATGCATGGGTAGAAAAGAAACACACCAACAAGTTTACAAATGATTATCTGTAGTGATGGAACTATGGGTTATATTTATTTTCTTTATATTTATTTGCATTTTAAAAATTATCTATAATACATACCCATAACTTTTATAATTAAGGCGATAGAAATCAACAAAATCTGTAAAAATCTGCAATTGCCTCCATAGTCCCCCCAACCCAGACTTCCCTGGGTCTTAACCCCAGACTTAAACAATTCTATTTATATTTATGGCCCACTGAATTGGTCTTGGGGCCCTTAGGGATTTTGAGGCTGCTGGACTCTCAAGAATGAGTAAAATAAATCTCAAAAATCAAGCACCATGTAACTACATAGAATGTTATGTATCTTCTGATAAGATGCAAATGTTGACATAGTTTTTGTTTGTTTGTTAGTTTGTTTTTTGCCCAGGCTAGAGCGCAGTGGCATGATCTCGGCTCACTGCAACCTCTGCCTCCCGGGTTCAAGCTTCTTCTGCCTCAGCCTCCTGAGTAGCTGAGACTACAGATGCGTGCCACCATGCCTGGCTAATTTTTGTATTTTTTAGTAGAAATGGGGTTTCACCATATTGGCCAGGCCGGTCTCAAACTCCTGACCTTGTGATCCGTCCTCCTCGGCCTCCCAAAGTGCTGGGATTACAGATGTGAGCCACTGCACCCGGCAGACATAGTTTTAAAGATAGTATCTTGCATTGGGCAGGCCTCTCAAGGGTCCTGCTTAATACAGACCTACCTACCTAAGCAGCCAATAGGTAGCAATCCTCGCCCTCCAGCCCAGGCAAACCAATTCATTAGTTCCTTTGTGCTCCACGCTAGTCCTACGTGCAACACACCCTTCACTCTACAACCCTCCCGTATTTCCAGGTCATCTGGTATATTATCGCTGGTAGGAAGTCGGCCCTGATAACAGTTAAACATCAGTCCCTCCACCCACTCAATACCAGGAAAAATCTCAGTGAGGTTTCATTGTCTACGCAGAACAGAGCTTGGGAAATAAAGGAGTGAGTCATCCTATGGCCTGGGCTTTTTTCACATTGAGGCCCTAACATTGCCTTTGAGCCTCTGGGATCTTCCCCAGCTCCGAACACAGCTTCCTCCCCTCCTAGCCTGTTCCCCATAGGGCTCCTTAACTGGCCCTTCCAGAATCCCAGCTCTGTAAGGATGGTGCACTCCTGTTTCTCTGAAGAACTGCTTTTCTTTGCTTCTGGATTTCAGGTCAGTTTGATGTCAGCCTCCCTAGGCCAGAACACTCTTCACAGTTAATAAACTTGGGAGAGAATACCTGCAGCTCCAAGAAGGTCCTTGGCCAGGGCGATTTCCCAAACCATACCTTGTGCCTAGGCTCTTCTAGAAACAAGCTGTTCAGCTCTGGTTTCTGAGCTGCTCCCAGCAGCCAGCTCCCTCTCTCCGCCCCCTCAGTCACCCAGCATTGTGTTTATAGCACCATACAGCTGTTTCCCTCTGTACTTGTCTATACGACTCCAGTGGATTTTAGCCAAACCCCTTCCATTGAAGGCCCTTCCCTGGCTGGCTCCAATTTCCCTCTCTTGCCCTCATCTTCACCTCCCAGCCCTCCACTCCATGCACTTTTCACTCCAGTCCAGTCACATCAAAGTCCCAGTCTTCTCTGAGCACACCTTGTACCTTCCACCTCTACCTCTTTTTTCATGCTCTTTCCTTTCCCCAAAACGCTTGTCTCCCATTTCCACTGTTGTTCTGCCTCTCTGTGGAAAGTCTGTTCATTTCACAATCACCCTATTCTTTTGTCTGCCATAGAACTTGTCAGTCTGACAGTCAGATGTATGTTTAATTGCCTTTCCTACCACGGGTGAATGCTAGGTCTTAAATAGCTCTGAATTCCCCAGCACGACTGCAGTATCCCTTTAACTAATTTGTTTTTCTATGAATTTTCTCCACCTCCACCTATGGACTGGAAGGTCCTGAAGGTAGTTGTTCATACTTCGTGTCCTCCCACTGCATCTGGGACACGCCTTTACCCACAATTCACTTAAGACAAGGCTGACCACGGATGTCAGACAGATCCTGAGCTCTCCCCTTAACTCAGGAAAGAGGCCTGAATCACTGAGAAACAGTGATTCACTTTTCGCTCAAAATGATATGGTAAAAAAGGGCTGTGAATGAAAACACCTGAGCTCTGGCTTGGCCTCTGATGCCAACTTGCTTATTAGTGTGAGGATCACTTTTCTGCACTTCAGTTCACTCACCTTCAAAATGGAAATAGCACTACATACCTTACCTGCTTCATCAGGAAACTGTCCCTAAATGTGATCGCAAAGTAGAACAGCCACAGGAAAGGCACAGGAGCTGACAACAGAGGCAGGAGGTGGCTGGCATCAGGATGATGTATACACAGTAAGGGATCTGTGTTCCCAGAGGCCAGGTGAGGGCTAGCAGTTCCCTCTCTCAGTTTAGCAGTGAGAATGGGGAACGTCCACCCAGTAAGCTAGGGAACAAAGCAGAAGCAGCACAGAAATTTGCAGAGGTAGTATTAGAAAAAGGAACAAGCCCAAACACTTTCCCTGTGTGTGACCTAAGTTAGTGGGACCTTTGACAAGTGCTGCTGTTACCGAGTTCATGCATTTGCCCATGCTTTCTCTCTGGCTACTTATGTGGGAGTAATAGAAAGAAGGATCACTGGTTTATCTGTTTACTAGGCTACACAACTTCTTTTTTTTTTTTTTTTTTTTTGAGACAGTCTCACTGTGTCACTCAGGCTGGAGTGCGTGGCACAATCTAGGCTCACTGCAGCCTCCGCCTCCTGGTTTAAGCGATTCTCACGCCTCAGCCTCCCATGCAGCTGGGATTACAGGTGCATACTACCATGCCTGGCTAATTTTTTTTTC